TGTGCAGCGGATTGTTCTACATGGATTCGTCGGGGATCTGTCGAGTAGTAAATTGATTCATATACTGAGTTATCAGTTGGGTGATCATCTTGCGGATTATGAATATGAATATGGGTCTTCTGCTTTGGAAAATAGACTTCGAATTCAGCTCAGTGAACAAATGAGAGCGGTGAATTTGAAGAGAATTGAAGAAAAGAAAATATTCCAGAATTTGAATATGAAATCGTTGAGTTGATTTGTCAAAGTTGATAACATTTCACGGGTGAATAAAAGAAAAGAAGAAGAAGAAAAACAAAATGTATTGTCATTTACAGGATAATATATAATATAATAATGCAGTATAAATAAAGGCTACTCAAACTAATTATATAACAAAATATTGACATATTGAGGATTTGAAAAATTAGGAAATAAATTGAGATATATGATCGAACTAAGAAAAAAATATGACATATTAATCAATGATTATTTGTAAATAACATGAAATGAAGACAGTAGGCTAGATGATGTTTTGTTCAATTTTGGATAATTTGGCCTTCAGTGGATCGAAATTAATATCGCATTGACTGCAGTGGGTATTATAATTTTCACATCATCAAATTTATAGGAGACACTTTTCCAAGGTTGAATCTAGTAAAAGGGGTATAGGAAGTGATCTGTCTACGTGTAGTAGGTTGATGTAAGTTGAAGTTAATTTGTTTAAGTGACGAGGGTGTGTCAGTGAAACAATGCGAAAGTTTGTATAACATAACAATTCTTGATGAAACTCTACGTTGCTCCAAAGAAAACAGACCGAATCTATGAAGTAGAGTGGAGTGGTCAGTTCCTCTAGCAGTTTTAAATGCAAGAAACTTCAGAAAAAGCCTTTGCACATTTTCCAAGGATTCCTTATGTACATTATAGATAGGATACCCAATTAAAGTAGCATGCTTTAACTTGGAGCGAACGAGAGATGTAAAAAGTATGGTTAAGTCGGTAATATTGACAAAGCCAAGAATTTTTCTAGGCGATGCCGCGACAGTATTGGTGTGACCAACAAATGTCAACCTACTGCCAAACGTCACCCCTAGATCTTTAATAGCTTCTTCTCGAAGGACTATTTCATCTTCGAAAGTATAATAATGCTCAGTAATATTGGCATTACGTGTAAAGGTGCAACCTTTGCAATTTTTAGCATTCATTGCCAATTTATTGATTTGACACCAGTTATATATCAGGTCTAATTGAGACTGGAGATAAGAGCAGCCCTATAAACTTCTATTCCACCCAAATAATTCTCTTTATCACTTCTTACTTCTGCAGAGAGACTCAAATAGTTCCAGACATGCACATCCGAGAAAATCATTATAGAAAAGATTCATTACTGATGTACTAATCTGTTCAAAATATAATCTCGAAAAATTTTCAATCATTCATCAATTCCTATTTCGTCCCCCTCAGATATAATAAATACAATTGTGTAGGCGTTTTTCTTTCCATTCCTGGAATGAGTTCTGATATGCATTTTTTATTGTCCAGAGTTTATCTCCTCAATCGTCGCAAAATGCTGTCATTTCATGAGTGTATTCGATTTCGGGAACAGAAAAAAGTCAGATAGGGCAAATCTGGTGAATACGGTGGCTACAATACCGGACGCTTTCTTCGTATTGCTTCTTGCAAGCGGCGCATAACTTGAAGATAATAATTCCTAATGACCGTTCGATCATGCGGTAAGAACTTCTGATGCACTACGCCACAGTAGTCGAAAACAAATAAACAGTGAGAAAAACCTTGACATTTGATCAAACTTGACATGCTTTTTTGACCTTGACTTTCCTGGGCTCTTCCATTGGGACGATTGGACTTACGTTACGACGTCATTCAAGTTTTTTTAATCTGAATTCAGCAATTTTGGAACAAACTTTGCTGCCACACGCTTCTGACTTTAACATAGTATTTTTTGAACAGCCCATATACATACAATCGTCATCTCGATGACGCTTGTTGAGGATATCATCACATGAATTTGATAGTTTTGGAAGGATAGCTATAAATGAATGAGATGGAATGAGTCCTATTTTTGAGAGATTTCCATTGTATACTGTCATCATCAAGGCTCTACTTGAAGTAGAGCCTTGTTGATGACATCACGACCAGCTGTCGAAAGCGCTCGCATATAATTGAATAGGAGTTATAAACCTTCAAATCCTTCTTGTAACTTATATTATTATTAAAATACTCTATTATTGGTATAGGTAGGTAGGTAGGTCTGAAGTGAGTGGGTCTATTCGACCCTCCACCGCAACCCACAGGGGTTTATTGTGGCTCACACCTATTCACACTCGGCCAAATAAACCCAGCTTCTTAACAAAGTCGATTAGTTTTTATGGTGAGTGGTCTTTCAGGTCAGAAGGTGAGAGTACGGATCTGCCGAACTCAAAGAACCTGATTCGGTCCCCAGCGGGGCAGGCACGAAGTATATACTCTGCTGTTTCATCATTTTCCAAACAGAGACGACACACACTATCTTCCGACAGTCTAAGTCTCTGTATATGAAGTAAGAAGGCATGTTAGACACCGTAGTTCATCCTTACTGTAGTCCAACAACTGTTTGGAATCAAGCTTCGAAGGGTGAATAAATGCCTTGGAGTGAGCCAATCCTGAAAGATTCTGCCAGAAGTACATTAATCTTCTTGCCATCCAGGTGTTCAGTGTTTGTTTGGCAAAGCTCAAAGCGATGCCAATGACAGGTTCTGGTCCAATGAATCTGTTTGCAGCACCCTCCTTTGCAAGAGAGTCAGCAGCCTCATTGCGTTCCAGGCCAGTATAGCCAGGAATCCAGCCAGAGACAATTTGTTAAGTCTTCTTATCGAGGAGAGTCGTTTTTTGGCAGTTTGCTACCAATTTAGACATTGCTCGGTAGGAGTCAGGAGCAACGCCCCTTGAATGTCCGGGAATATTTTTATTGACTGTGTGACAAACTGTTGGATTTGGTATTAAGTTAAGTATAGTAAATGAAGACCATCATCATTCATCCATTTTAATCAAACTTCGCGGACTCACAACATAATGAATTCAGTACAAATATGAGTAATAGATCATTCAACTTCGAAAAAGATGATCATCAGTATGTAGTGAATGTTTGAACGTGGATTGAAACATTTCGGAAAACTCATCTGAGGTAAATACTGAATATTGCTGTAAAAAGTCTCTACAGAAAATTTAAAGAAATTCTAATTACTCAAGTTCATCTAACAAAATCTAAAAACATTCTTGTTTGTCATCTTCATTTTCTTAAGGTTGGAAATTTTTCCCTTACCCTTTCAACTGTCTTTCGTCAGGAGGACGAGTGGTTTATAACTGAGGGTGTTTTTTGGTAACGACATAAAGATCGATGACCTCCATGCCACTCTGGCTTTGTATACCCCTTCCTGACTGGGGTATTTGATGAACAAACTCTTCATTTCAACAGACGTCGTGGAGCCTTCCCTCATCCGAGCGACGGGACCTTCTGCATCGGTAGGGGTCGTCTATAGTGTAATCTACAGCTTCCCTAACTAACGGGTTATCATGAGTTTCCGCTGACTCGAAAACTCTCTGATTCATCGACTGAATGGACTGCCGTATAGTTAACAGCTTCAAATCTCTGCGAATGGCTTTATTCCGCACGAAGCATGGAGCATCCACCAGCATCCTGATTAGTTTGTTTTGCAACCTTTCCAAAATGGAGAGATTTGACGGAACGGTTTGTTCTTAAGCGCCTGAAGCATACATAATGACAGGCTTGAACATCGTATTGTATAATAAAATGTTATTTTTAAGATCGAGCTTGGAATTTCTGTTGATCAGAGGATACAGTTTGACTATCCTCATTTGTACTTTGCTCTTGATATAATCGATGTGATTTACCAGGTGAGTCGGCGGTCTACCCAAAGACCTAGATATTTGACTCGCGTTTGCCATTCGATTTCCCTGTCTGAAATCGTGACTCTTGTGTATGGAGAAAGGTTACGTCTCCCCAAATCTATCGCCTGAGTTTTTTTCTGGATTCACCCGAATCTTCCATTCCAGGTACCAGCGTCGAGGTCGTCCAATGCGCGTTGCATGTAAACGACCGCCAACCCTCGACCCATGGAAGAAGCGAGGAGAGCCGTATCATCGGCGTATAGGGCAACCTTCACGTGATCGAACCTTGGAAGGTCGCTCACGTAAAGGCTGTACAATAGTGGAGACAGCACAGCTCCTTGAGGCACTCCAGCTTGGATTTCCCTGACGGGAGACAGGGTTCCTTCAACTCGGACCTGAAATGTTCTGCCTTTCAGAAAGGACCTAATCCACTGGATCAGGCCCCGAGGCAGGTCGAAATCGAGCATTTTGTGTAGTAGACCTTCATGCCATACTCTGTCAAAGGCTTTCGAAATGTCCGGGAGGACGAGATGGACTGTCTTCCTATTGTTCAGCTCTGAGATGGAATTTTCGACCAGTCTCAGGGCCTGCAACTCGGTCTTCTCTAAAAATATGTTCATCCAGTTTGGTATACGAGTGGTTATGATGACGATTTCCATATTATTACAAAAAATTAGTAAACAATTGTTCGAGGTTGATTCGAAAGTTTTGCCAGTTTCGATGTTATATGTTTTTGTAGCTCTATGTCCCCATCAATATTTATTCTACTGTGATACTTTTTGCAAATTTTATAATTTTGCTCATTTTCAGCAGATTTTTGGACAATTTTCCCAATCAGGCATTTGGCAACGATCGACGTAGGTGTAGAATTGATAGTAATTCCAGCTTTTCCAGCTGTTACAAAAGCTTATATTTCTTCATTTTTCCCACCTTTAACTCAACATAATAATCATATTGATATTGTCTCTTTCTACTCACTGATATAAACCAATTTGTAGTGAGTATTTTGTTTGATCGATATTGTTCAGATACTAGCGTTTTCAGAAGTTTCGCTTCACCATAGTGTGAAATTTACAACGAATCAAAGGTTATAAATAATATTGTCAGTAACAAAACAACTTCGACGAAATGGAGGTTATGGAAGATGGTAATTTAATGGACAAAGTAAATATACTCATACAAAGAGACATGGAATATTACAAGGTATGAACTTTCAACTTTCTCAGTCTATAATACCTAATGAAAAAAAGAAATATGTAACTTGATATGATATAATTGAAAAAACCCTTTCAGAAATACACTTGTTCATACGTTCAATATTTACTGAAAAACTAAAATACTTGTTTTTGAGCATACAGGGTACAGGTAAAAGTATATTTTTCATTTTCATAGTAGATGGGTTGAGCCGATTTCAGAACCACCTTCACTACTGTCAAGCTTGAAACAACCTTGACCTACGTAACACTACCCAGACAAGGTGACTTCAAGGTAGTGTTTTAACTTTGACCTTGAGTGACTTCGATTTACGCCGCATATTTTCGACAAGATGAATTTGATCTTGAAAGGCAATATCGAGAAAGTCACGCGGCTAACTTGATTCGACCTTGAAAGACCTTCAAACGCGTGGACGAGACGTCTTCCAGAGTAATATTTTTGACAAGATGACTTCGACCTCGAATTGACTTGAGCTATGTCACGCGGCTAATTCTAAAATTCAAAGATTCGACTTCGAACGACCCTCAGCTTCATGAACGAAGATTCTGTAGTTCGTTTTTTGTTCGACTCCAAGTGGACATCTGCAATATCACATGCCTTTGCTGAAGTGAGTTTGAGGGCGTATATGCAATCTTCTTTTTCCACCGGCCAATGAATTTATAAAAAAACTAATCATGTAAACACATGTTACTACCATTAAATATACTTAGTTCTACCGCAATCGCAAAAAAAAATCGAGTAATACATTAAAAATCATCGAGTAATCATTAAAAGTTTATATAAAGTTTATAAGTGATGTGATTCGAAAATAATATTTTCGAAGAGGCAGTTCCAATATTCACGAAGGAATATCCAACTTTCAGAAGTTGAATGAGCTAAATTCAACTCCGGAGCCAATCAGGTTCAACATATACTGATATTTTTTCAGAGCAAACAATCCATACTACAAGAAACCATCTGTCCTGGTGTGATTGGAGGTAAACTTGATTTTCCCAGAACTGCTTCATTTGCTTCGGTGAAGTTAGTTCTGTGGTGGGAGGAAGAATTTCGCGCAGCTCATAAAATTTCTTCAGGTTTCCTTCATGTAGACAAGAAAAAAGAAGCAGAAGATAGTGGTGCTTCTGCTTCTTGCGAGGGAATGGTGAAGGATTCAGATCCATCTAAATTTGTCAGTTTGATCAGCAAATCAGCCGATGAGTTTTTAAGTAAGTTGTTTCAGATCCCTATGTGTTGTAATGATTCTCAAATAAAACTATTCGATTTGTTTCGATTGGAATCCACTAAAGATACACGAGTGGATGGATGGATGGATGGATGGATGGATGGATGGATGGATGGATGGATGGATGGATGGATGGATGGATGGATGGATGGATGGATGGATGGATGGATGGATGGATGGATGGATGGATGGATGGATGGATGGATGGATGGATGGATGGATGGATGGATGGATGGATGAGCCTAAAAATTCATAATTTTCGATTATTCCAAAAAAAAATCTTTCAGAACATCTGCATATCCTAACTCAAGAAGCCCTCGATCATGCAGACTTATCAGTTCTCACTGGAACAATAGGTGCAGCGGCACTCCTGAAAAACTGCCTTTGGTTCTACAACAGGACTACGAACAACAACAGTGAGAACTCTGGGGAAGAATTACATCGGGGGTACAAGAGATACAACGAGATGTGTGAAGCTCTAGCAGAACGACTACTGGATTTGCACTGCAGACTTCTTTCGTTGTACATTCTGCAGGATGCGGAATGCTTGGACTGGGAGAACGATAAGCCATTTTTCGAGTCGGAAAGGGGATCATATTACATTCAGATGTGGTGGTTGTACATGAAAGGTTTTTATCTCTGAGTTACTGTTGTAACGTAAAGTCTTCAGCTCATGTTCACTTTCTGATTATCAATTAGCTTAGTTAGGTATTCCACTAATGAGGCACTTGCACATTGATTTTTTTGTTCCGGTTTGGTTTGGTTCGGTTTGGTTACTGCACTTTGCAAAAAGTGAAATAAGTTAGCTGACCGAACTCATCAATGAAACAGACAAGGATATTACCAAAAGTCAAATCACAAGACCTCAAAATTTCATCTATGAATTTCCATAACAGAAACTTGATATTCGGCAATATCATTGCCAATTTTTTTCTCATCATTACATAACTTTGAAGGCAATAATCAGAAGTGAATAACTATCTCTGACAAAAGCCTCCAAACTCTGTGAAGTATCGTATCGGAACAGACGAACAGAAGCAGAAAGTCAGAAGAAAATATGATTGATCAAAAAGAAATCTAACTTTCAAATACCCTTCATTCATCGTGACTTAACTCAACAATTTTTTCATTGAAGCTCCTTGAACCCCAGTGAGGATCATTACCAAGGAAGATTATGATCCAAACGACCATAGCAATGTCGATATGGACTCCAATCGGAACACAATTTTCCTGATGCTGTATAGTGAAATTGAACTGCTTGAGTTAATTGAAAAAATTGAAAATAATTTTATAGATTGTGCTGTTTTCATTATCAAAAATATATCACCTCAAATTCCTCCCTTGATAATAATATCCACAATATTGATACACTACAAAAAGAACAAATATACACCAATATCACTTATAGAGGCCAAATTTACAATCACTTACCAGATATAACAAGAAAAACAAGAAATCTAATGAAATTCAAAAGTTCGTTTATTGTTTTTTTTGGGGAAAGAAATATAACCCTCTCAATTCAAATTCGATTATTGTTTTCTATGCACTAAATTAACCAAATAATTCATTATTCCTGCTCCATAACTACACATTTACACGAAATGTAAATGTTCTTCATTTTCAACGGAGCTGAGAATTCGAATATGAAGAAAAATATTTTTGCTGACTTTCCATTTCAGGGACTAGAGAAGATTTATGGAATACGGTCCCACCCAAAATGGCCCAAAGAGTATTTTCTGGCATGCTCAACGAATCACTAACTATTCTTACGGTTCGCTTCACTCAGGTAATTATCTGGAGACTCGAAAACTTAGCTTTCCTGAGGATATTCAGCTATTCAAAATATCAATGTTCATTTTATCTTCAACAGAACTCTCAGAATTATTCATAAATGAATTTTGAAGGTAATTTTGAAATAATAATTTTTGAATATACCTATGAATTTTCATCATTCAGATATGTTCTTATGATCTTCTCTATTTATTTATAATGTTATAATCTTTTGAAAATTTCGAGGATCTGTGTAACGTCAGATACCTTTTTCGTTGAAAATCGGGAGAGATCTTTTTGTGTGAGGTAACTTTTGACTTTCTTCTTTCCATCATTATATAGAAAGGAAATTCGAATGCATTAAGACAGCATTCCATTTCAGGTGTGAACTAAAAAAAAGCAATCAAAACATTTACTTAAAAATGTATCAACAGTAAACCATAAAAACATCCATGTTGAAATCAAAATAGTTGTCGAATATAGAAAAACTTTCAACATTCAGGTGTACTTCGAAGTTTCGCTTGAAAACGTTAGTCTCCTTTTATTAGCACAGTTTTTGATGAGTTCGAAAAACAATCCACTCAATTCTTGCACAAACTTCACAACCTTATGTCGATGAAAGGAAGTTGCTCATGTCACACTGACATTCATATAACCAAATAATTGACTATCTGTCAATTAATCAGTGGCTTTTTGAATTGAAAGGAAATATTCAGGAAAGGTGATGATGGGACTCTGAAGGAGCAGAAAAAGTTGGGTTTTTATCCAAGACTTTGAAGTACACTGAAAAATTCCTGTGAGTACCGTCCTTGTATGCGATAAACTATTCAATTCCATTACGGATGTTTGGAGAACAAGTTCAGTGAGGAAACGTGGTGGTTGTGTGAGTGATATTCATATAGTTGAGAGTTAGGCTGGAGAATATTCATGGAATCTGAACGGAGAGTGTATCTCAATACGGATTTCTTTTAGTAATGCAACGAAACAACAAGTTCTTGGTCATAGACTATAAGTACTGGAAATCATGTGACGGAAGTCTACTAGCTTTGAATGAATATCATTTTACACGTGTTTCCTACTTATTCACCAAACTCAAACAATTGTTCATGCAGTTACAGTTTCGTAAGAATGTATCGTCTTCCTCACCCCACTAACGTCCTAACGAGTAACCACTAGATACTATTTAGGACAACAAGAGGATTGCTCCGAACGCTTGGGGTTCTTGTTGAATATTCAAAAATAGCAGAATCAATACTCCTTACCGCTCTGTATTGAATTATTCCGTACAGTCTATCTCGTCTTGTGTTTGTAGATCTTTTGCTGGAAAAATCCTCACTTGTTTACTTTGTAGTAAATGTTCAAGAGGTAGCAAAAATGTACGTGATTTTCTGGAACTTCAACTAGCGTTTCCTAATATGACCAGTCCATGCAAAGCTTATTGTTGAATCATCTGAAAATGAAAATTTCAACTGGTGATGATCAACTGTATTGCCAAACATCCGCCAAACTAACTGACTATTATAAGAAAACAAGTATAGCTGAGGCACCAGTCAATCTAATAATAATACTGATGATCTTCAAACATGACTCAACCTCTGACGGAAGCACTAAACTATCACGAAGGTTCGAAATAGATGAACACTTCAATCTAGCAGACCACTATTATAATCTTCATGCAGTCATTGTTTACTGTGGTTCTGGCGTTGAATCTAGTCATTATTACGCCTTGGTCAAAGACGAAATGGACTGGTTCAAGTTTGACAATAGTCGTGTCATCAAGTGTTCTGGCGATGTCTTGAATTTATTGGATCCTCTGGAGACACCCTACATTGGCAGGTCAAGATCTTCAGATGATGTGGTGTTGCAGGTTTTTTCGGGTTTTCCTGAAACTACAAAAGCAAATGCGCCACTGGGATCAATAAAGTTATCCCGGAGAGCCAATTAATTTGTTTTGCTTCATAATTTCATGATTTGAATGATATTATGATTCTCAGTGAAAAATATATGTGGTAGTAGGAGGATTGTTCTCTTTCAATACTCCTTGTCAATAGTAATTGAATCAATCTGAATTTTTCTTCTCACTATATGCATAACATAAAATAAGTGGTATAAATCAGCGAATGCTTGTTTGCCTGATTATGAAAATGGCGTCATAATTCAGAATCAATTCGAAGATGTATATTAATTGAAAAATTTTGGAAACCCTCCAATTTCATATCTGAATATATTGTTTTTTACGGCAGAGTGTACAATCTGAAGCAAGAAGCCAACTACTTGCGGTCGATATCAGCAACTTACTACTATGCGTTGCTCAACTGTTACCATCTATTTGTGAAAGCGCTAAGGAGCTGATAGGACTTTCTCTCCACACCAGCAGTAAAATTCTACGCGACATCCATACAAAATGCCAAGAGTTGTTGATTTGTTTATTGATGAGAGGATCACCGCTGGAAGATTTGTTCAAGGTAAGTTGCCTCAAGCATTCAGTCATTGTGAACGTATAATTAAGTTGTTGTTTCGGGAGGACTTTTTCTTCTAGTTGTTGTGGAAAGGTTATTTTGAACATACCTGCTTTCTACCATTCTTCAGAACATTTATTCATATTTTGTATAAAGGTGGAGAAGGAGAAAGCCAAAAGGTTTCTCCAAAACCAAATTTCTCCCGAAAAAAAGCCACCTCCAATTATTCAATCAATTCAGTCTCAATAGGTTCAGTTCAGATACACTGAGTTGAACTTCAAGGTTAGCTCATTGATGAGGCCTCAGTGAAATCATAAGCATCATAGCATCATATAGATGGCAACGGTTAAACACAAAATAATAGAACTAAATTCTCTGTAACAGGACTTTGTAAATTACCATTACCGTAGCTGCATCTGTCAAATTAGTAAAAGTGTGTAAGAGAATCCGAGGCACTCTATTTCGCGTCGTTCACAAAAACCCGACCTTTCGCATACCACAACTTGAGCCAGAAACTGAAAGTAAATTACCATATAAAACGATGGGCTCTGGAGCAATTGGCAACTGACCCTAATTTTCATCTTCATCTTCAGCGATGTTGCCCATTTCCGGAATCAAATGTTTCAAGCCACTTGAACACCTCCCGTGCAAGAATCTGTGAAAGAGAGACGAATCTCCAACCTTTCTTTGATGTTCCAGACTATCGAAGTCGCAAGTGATGTTCATGACTCCAATCAGGTGGATGACTCTTTCCTAGATGGAATCCATCAGCTTCAGGGTATGCTTAGGGGCGGAGCTTCATACATGAGGACAATACTCCAAATAAGGTCTGATCAGAGCTTCATGAAGCATCAAAATGTGCTGAAGTGTGTACAGTTTCCTGCTTCTGTTATCGAATCATGGATGCGTTGCTCTGGTTGTCAGCTTCAACATCAGGTTTCAAATTCATTCCAGACAAAACAAATCAGTTTATAGATAATCACGTAATTATTCTCAATGATATAAAAAGCATATAAAAAATCAGTGTGGCGTACCACAGGGTTCCGTTTTGGGGCCCCTGTTCTATACGCTGATGGTACTGTCACTGAGGCAGGCTGAGCTTAAGGGAAGGTATTTCACGTTCGCCGATGACACAGTCCTTTTGTACAGTGGATGTGATTTACATTTACTGGAGAACACAGTTAATGAAGATCTCTTTAAATACTCAAATTGGCTTGCACATAATAAACTTAAGGTGAACTCTGCAAATAGCATTTACATGCTATCCAAACAAAAAATAGAATTTGTGGAAATATTGAATTAAGAATAAATAACTTACCCTTAATGAATGTTGCAAAAACCAAGTATTTGGGACTCATAATAGATGATAAGTTAAACTGGTCAGGACACATAGAACATATTAATGATAAAATTGTACCAATGTTAGGAGCTCTGTATAGGTGTTCCAGTTACTTTAGTTTCAGTTATAGATACTCGGTTTACAATGCATATATATTGGTGAATCTTAGGTATCTGTTAATCATATGGGGTAATTGTGGCACTACTAATTTCAAAAAAATTCAAACGCTACAAAATAAATCAATAAAAAATTTATTGCACTTTCCATTTCGAACCCACACAAGTGATTTATTCTCACAGACTGGACTACACCCAATTAAATATCTACTTAAACTTGACCAATGCAAGAACATATATAAAATAAAAAATAAAAGAATCAAAAGCAACGATCTACTAGTCAACAACCAGTTTTATGAGTATAATACAAGGGGTAGAAATGACTTACACCTGAGCATGGTAAGAACGAACAAAGGATTATACAATCCTTTTACACAGGTTATAAAAGTCTTCAATGAATTACCTGTACATATACGTGAGTTGCCGGGCTATAGTTCATTCATCAATAGTTTCAAAGAACATCCGAGCCTTGAGGTACATGTTACACTGATACTATAAGCTTTGTAATGGTTTACTAGTTTTTGTGTCATGTTGAATGTTTGTGAATCCCGAGACCAGCATTTTTGCTGATTATTGAGAATAACAACATATTTTATATTTATAGTGTCTTAACTATGTTGAACTGTACGCTGTTGTTATATCTTTAATAAAAAAAAATTATGTGATATCCAACCAATGGTTGTTCAATATTTTTCAGATGATTCAATATGTCAACTCGCTGTTGAATGCACATTGATCATCGCGCAATAAACTTCAAAGTACTTACAAATAAAACTCAACTTTTCGCAATTCGAATATTTTTTGTTTCAAGGTCTTCAAAAAGGGATTGCACAATGTCGAAATATTCAAGCCTAGAGGTTCAGCAGTAGCTCCTTGGATAATCCTAGCTATGCCCAATATATTTCGAGTACACCCCACACAACTCTCCAACATAGATGATTCCAATCCGGAAGTTCTGATAGCTTTAGAACTGATGGTTCTCTTAGCCCAACCACAACCTAACTGGGCTCTTCTCTTGAAGGTAAATGAAAAGTGTCTGATATTTCTTTTCGAAATCGTTAATCTAACAAACTTATGAAGAAATATAACTGTATTACAGCTATTTTTCGAGTTTGTTTACCGTGGCCTGCAAGTTGAATGTCTATTACTACGGTAGACATCATCAAAAGAGATGAGCCGACGGACGAAGAACTCGGGTTCTTCTCAATTTCAATATTTTGGGAACGGCAGGGGATTTGAATGACTGTCCGAGATTTCAGGAAAAAAAGAGTCTCAGTATCCTTAACAGATTGAATTATGCTCGTGATTGTAATGGGGCATATTCCTCAATTTGGGTTATTACAGCAAATGCAAGTTTGAAAAAAATAAAGTTGAGTTTAATTCATGAGTTTTTCAAATTCACTTCGAAAAGTGTTCAAATTGATGTTTCAGATGTTGGGTTTTAATTTCCGAATAGATTCGTATCTAATTCACATGTTGGCAACAGCGCCTGTATCCAGTTGAAATAATTTATACATACCTAGATATTTTACTTTAAAAAAGGAAAATTATCTTTATAAATCAACAATTGAGACAAAATATAAATTAAAGTTCAATACCACCTCCACAAGCAACATAAACGACAGTTGTTTTGTTATTTATTCATATAGAGGAAGTAGGTTAGGTGCAAAAAATGTCATATGTCATAGAATGTATCGGAACTCGGAACATAAGTAAACAGAACAGCACGCCTCTGAAATATGTCATTTTTGTTCGTCTCATACAGGTAACAGATTCATTGTCCTTTATTAGCTATAACCGATGTTGCCAAATGGTGAAATAGCAACGAATCCCTTTGAATGTTGAATGCATTATTTCATTCCTCTTTTTTTAAGTATTAAAATAACTTTTTAAAGAAAAAGGTTGAAATGATGAGTTTAAAATGCGTTTGTTTCAGAGCTCTTTTATGGAAACTACTTGATTATCGTCAGGAGGAACATTCCCCATTCTACTTATCAACTCTTACATCAATGATGTATTTGATAAATCATAATGATGATAGTGATATGAAATGTTAGCTGAATTTCTTCTGTATTTGAGGACGGAATGAAGTTTTTTTGAATGCCTATATACATTGTTTGTATCTGAATTTTCGAAATGTTTGAAGTACAAATATAAAGGAGTGCGTGTCGTACTCATTTTCTAAACTCATAAAAACATATGACGTTGAAAAGTTGAGTCAATCCAATACAATAAAAACTCACTAAAGTGAGTTTCTCGAAATATTTCAGTGAAACATTTTGATACCTAGTTAATACCTAGAAAACGTCAAATAATGGATATAAGAGAGTTTGGATTCATTAAGAGATGGGTTTCTTACATGCAGGGTTTCATAATAATGATAATAAGTTTGTTACGTTCAAATGACAGATAAACTTGTGTCATTTGCGTACTGGTCGATTTTGCAAAAACGAGGGCCTAAAGTGCTTCCCTGCGGAACACCGCTGCTTATTGAACGATATCCTGAAATATTTTTACCAATTTAATACTATACATTTGTTTGGACAAACTGAAGGCAAGCAAAACGAGTTGTAGTAATTACTGAAAATATAACTCTTCATTTACTTCGAAACAATTTCCTCTGGAATTGTTAACATTTTTGGTAGAATTATTATGTATTCAAGTAACACTTTATTGTGAGATTTCCACTTGAATTCTGGCGAGTAAAGACACACCTGAAGGAGCCATTGCCTGGCGAAACACCTAAAACGTTTATGTGGAACCGTTTAGTGAAATAGTCACAATAAAATGGAATTGAATACCTTATGTATTTCAAGTACCAACCGATTTCATCAAATATAATGATTATGGGTCCAGTTCAATCTTCACAATCTTCAGCACTCTATGTTTTTTTAGGTTTTATGTATGAAAAAATGCAAAATTCTCTCGATCATCCTGGGCGCAATTTTTGATGAACACTCGAAAGGAGTGCTGAAACCCAATGTCAAAAACTCTGAATGTGGATCCTTTCTCTGCAATGGAGATAGTTCTTGTCGAGATGTCGTCACCTCGTCAGCTATTTACGAGTTCACGCATTATTATGATCTCATCTCAGCTGGAACAGAAGTTATGATTTTTGTTGGAAATGAAAGCGATTTATCTGATGCTCTACTGCCTTTGATCATCAAACAACCAAATTGGTCGAGCTGTTTCGAGAGAAGACACGTAAGTAACCGCTAACGTCATGAAAAAGTATTTAGAAAGATACAAGGAACTCAAATCCGCCCTTCGCCGAAACGACTATCCCGAATCCCAAATTTAAAGATCCATCCAACTCCAGCAAACTCGTATCACGCATCCCAAACAGCCAGATGAGCAGACGGACCCCCCAAAAGCTTTTCTCTCCTATATTCACGGATTTACCGGTAAAGTGAGCTGAAAATTCTGCCACAGCCAACAATAAAATTTCTACTTTTCAACGAACACCTAAGGATACGAAGCCGAATGAAGCACACGACATATACAGAATACTATGTTTAGTTCCTGTGAACCCACAGTCGACGCTCAGGACTAGGCAGATTAAGACTCTTGCGGGGATACCAATTTATTCATAAAATCGAACAAAATGAGCAAAATGTTACATACTTTGTAAGTATAACCTCCAAAAGTGTCCCGCTACGAGAGAAACCTAAGATCCAGCCAATGGGTAGTTCAGCGGTGAAGAGAAATAACCAAACCATACCACGTATTTCAAAACCAAATCTGCTCAATCCCATTTATTTGGAACACATTGCTACTGAAAATGTTTCAAGAATAACGTAAACAAGTACACAGAACTAGTGAACGTCGACAGAAAACCATCCATTCAACGGCAGCTAAACATTCATTCGAAAGCAGCTCTGCATAAATTTTTGTATTGCGCATTACACCTTTCCGGAAGTTTTCAAACTCTCCCAGATATCTCCAATATTTAAAAAAGGTAACCATAATAGTTATCGTCCCATCTCTATAATACCAATCCTAGCAAAAATTTTCGAGATAGTATTAAAAATTAGACTAGTGGAATTCTTTGAAAAAAATGAGTTGCCAACTTTCAGTACGGTTATCGGTCTAGAAAATCCACAGTTACTGCCCTAAGTGATGTTTGTGATAACGTATTGGAGTCTTTCGAAACACAAGAACACTGTAACGCGAAGTTCTATGATCTTTCACGTGCATTCGATACGGTAAATCATAAGATTATGGCTGGAAAACTTGAAAATAATTGTATATAACGAGTATTGTTTTTTTCGTGACTAGTCGAATTGTTTTTCAATTCCTAATTCAATCTGTTACATTATTCAGTGTGTGGAACTGGAGAGACACAAGAAACTTGACTCTCGGGAATCCTCAGTGTATATTACGTGATGTAATAGATTATTGATGGCAATTTTTTATTGCCAACAAGACTTATACGTTGTATTTGATGTAAGAAGCATTCGTTTCTGGTTAATAAGGTTGATTGGTTGGTTGGTTGGTTGATTGGTCGGTAGCCAAGCGGTTCGGCGTGGGTGATTTGTTCACTCACTCGAATTGACTGCCGTATTGGTCGGTGGTTCAAGCCCTAGTCTGAACGATCGATCTTCACTTGCTATCGTCCAACCCGTGTTAGGAATCACACGTTAAAAGGTAAGACCTCGCACAAGTTTCGACTTCTGAGGGTTGTCGTTCGTATGGGTGCGACAGCTGGTTAACGGGAAAACAGATTTTTAAACAGATTTATCATGATAATTCTAGTATCATAGAAGTGTGAATGTAAGTCCTTGAATGAGTGCCGATCAAGCTGCGCAACCTCTGCTGCAGGCAACCAGTGATGCAATTGAACCCAGGTTTGTGTTCAATAAACCATACAAAATACAAATGAAACAGAACACAAATTCATTAGCTACAAATGCAATACGCAAATATTTAGACGGCTTAAATACCAAAGAAGGCTCAGGATGTAGAGTATCCTTCAGACCACTGAGCCTAAGGATTAAGAGGGCAATAGGAAAAAATACCAGCGTGGTCCAAACAGAACTGACTGGTACCTCAATCGTCACAAAAGAAATAACCAGGAGAGGAATTTCCGGCAAAAACATAACAATCTGCACTGACAGCAGACAAGCTCTATTAGCCTTGAACAGACGACGTGTTACCTCAAGGCTAGTACTAGAGTGCCACCATGATTTAGCCAAAGCCTCGGTAGATAATAACATCATTCTGAGGTGGATTAAAGGGTACGACAGAAGTAAAGGTAATCGCAATGCCGACTCTCTATACAAGGAAGCGACAGGACCCAGTGACACCTACGGTCTGATGATTTCAACAATTGCGGAAGTAGCCAAATGTTACACCCATGCTCAATCCCTAAATGGGATGGAATCAAAGGATGCAATCTTGCCAGGATCACCCTGGGCGACCTTGGGAAGCTGGCGCTGAAGAAATATCTGGAGATGACCATGAAAAATCTACGCTCAACAGTAGGATTTCTAACTAGTTACCGTCAGCTAAGGGGCTGGTGGACACACCCCTATGCAGGATGTGTGAACAGGAAAATGAGACTTTCAGGAATGTCCTATGCGAGTACCCGGACCTATCGTTGATAAGAGAGTGTGTGTTCGGCGAGTCTTGGCCTACACCTGCCGATATAAAGGAGATGTCTCCCAGTGACCTGTTTACCTTCTTGAGAAGGACAGAATAGACGATGACGTAGGAGGACAACTCCTCGGGAGGATGTACAATGGGTCACATGTGGCCTAAGTGCGTGGGCTTACACTCACCCTCCCTTCTCTACAGATACAGAAGTGCCGATCGAATCCCTAAAGCCTAACACAGGGTGTTCTGTAATAGCTATCAACATACATGAGAAGGTAACTCTATTCAATTTTCCTGAGTTTTAGAATTACTCTTGTATTATATCAGTTTCAATTATTTCAGGTCTGGAATCAAATTCGTTCACCTTGGTATGAAGCCATTCTGAATTTCGCCCACCCATTGATGGAAGTAACGACAGATACAGTGGTCAATGCTCTTCAAACAGGTGCTACGATGTATCAAGCCATGTCACTCATCTTGGCTTGCTTTAGTCACTTTTGGGAAAGCGTCCATCCAACTCTAACGAAAGTAGCTAATCTAATTCAAGACCATATTATGACAGATACTGTTCCCCTCAGTAACTCATGTTTGTTACAGATCTTGGTGAGCACACATTGTGAGTTTTTATTACGGTATTTTCGACATTTTTTGTTTGATGTTAGAAGAGTTGAAAGCCATAAGGCTTTTTTTCTATGAACTTACTGACTGTTCAATCATTTCCCCAAATGATTTCGATTTCTGTAGAATTTCTAATGACTTCTCAGATCCAATGTGCACTACCATTAACAACAATGAGCTCAATGTTAGAAATAGCAATATAGCAACATATTCTAAGGAAATTTAATCTACTTTTAGACCTGAGAAGTATATTGAAATTTCAAAGCCCTCAAAATTGAGGAACTCTCCTTGATCTTGGAAGATATAGACGGTCTAATGATCTTTGTCAATGAAAATGCTTTTTTTGTCATGCCCAAGGTTTGCGCTTTGTACAGTAACCTACTGAAAAAATCAGAGAATACCAAGAAGGAGGTGAGGATCGCAGAAGAGAAGCCACAAACATCTCACCAAACCTCACTAACCAGTTTTGACGCCACTAGCAGCAGTCCTCAAGCTATAGCTCTAGCCACAGCCGAATCTCTCTGTAGCATCGACGAAGATAATAAGCACACGGACCAAATCGAGGAATTTCTGGAACAGGTTCGATCTTCCAGAAGTGGTCTGGATAGTAGAGGAAGTGGTTCGGTTCGAGTTGAAACGAATCAACAAATGGTGGAGATCCTTGCTAGTGATGTTCTCATGACCACAACTGGAACGAGAAGTCTGAAGGTGAGAGATTTTATTAATTTTTCCATAGTTCATGGAATTTTTGTGTCATCAGACTCATCTGGTGAAAGAGAAATATTTATTTTTTAGCAATGAGTTTTTACATAAGAATTCTGAATATATTGATCTCATCTCATTGTGTACCGAATGTTCTGATTGAAAATGTTGAGAGAGTGAAGAAAATTGTTATAGAGAATCGTCGAATGACTATTAGAGTAGTTCCTGAGAATGTCGACATATCGGTTGGCTCATCCCATGCAAATTTTTCGGAAACTTTGGGCACGAAGCATGTGGCAGCAAAGTTCCTTCCTGAGAATCGCTCAGGAGTCATTGAATGAAGTCAACGGCGATTCAGATTTGCTTGGAAGGGTCATAACTGGTGTTTACGGTTATGATATTGAACCAGAGTCCAATGGTCCCAATGAAAGAGCCAAGAAGAACCAAGACCAAAATAGCACGCCAAGTTTGTTCAAATGTCAAGGTTTTGCTCACTATTTCCTTTTATTACCGTGGCGTAATGCATCAGGAGTTTTTGTCACACGGTCGTATGGTCTATAAGGTGCGCCGCTTATGAGAAGCCATACGAAGAAAACTTCCAGTGTTGTGAAAAAACAAGTTATGGCTTTTGCATCACGATAATACACCTGCTCACTCGTCGTTGCTTGTTTTTGAGTTTTTGGCCAAAAACAACACCTCAATCATGCATCAGCCTCCGTGTTCACCAGATTTATCCCCCTGTGACTTTTTTCTTTTTTAGAGATTGAAGAGACATGTGGAAGGATGGCGTTTCGCTGGCACATGTGTATTATATTTGAGGGGGACTACTTCGGATGGAACACAATGAAACTTTATGAAAAAATTAATATTTTTTGAAAATTCACCTAATTTTTTGAACGGTTCGTATGGCTTGTAAACATTTATTTTCTAGGATAAAGTTTCGGGTATAACTTTTACTTACTGAAAAAAGTACTTTCCTCCAGAAGTTTTGTTGGTAAATCTTAATTCGTTTCCAGCAGCTAAAAATGATTAAGCATCCCACAAAACTTTTTCAACTTACAATTACGGCGAGAACTAAATTTGAAACTCTTGAAATTTGGTAAATATACATTGTGTGAATTTTATATCATTCTGGTAAAGAAGTATATCAATCAATCTCTATGGTGCCAATACTCATGTCGGTGGATACACCTATTTATAAAAGCTGAGATAAAACTGATATGAGTAACTATAGACCTATTTCCTTAATCTCAAACCTCGACAAAATACTAGAAAAAATTTAAAAAACTAGATTGAGCAAATTCATTAAAAATATGGATTTCTTTCAACAATACAATACGGGTTTATGGAGGGAAAATCTACATGCACGCAATTCAGGTCTTAACTGGAGACATATAAAATGCATTAGATAAAGGTATTCCATCAATAGCAGTATTTATAGATCTCACGAAGTATTTCGATACCGCTGACCATTCCATTCTTCTACGAAAACTTGAGGACATAGGTATAAGAGGTGCATCATATGAATTATTAAAGAATTATCTTACAGACCGAGGGCAAATATTGGAATTCAAAGAGAAAACGAGTTGGAAAAAATCCATTACATGTGGAGTACCCCAAGGAACGGTACTGGAACCAATATTATTCACAATATACCTCAACGACCTACTCTGTGTGGAAAAAAGTGGAAAAATCATAAGCTTTGCTGATGATACTGTCCTTTTTTATACAGATAACAACTGGTATGACCTGAAATATAAAATTCAAACAGACCTCAATGAATTGAAAATGTGGTTTGACTATAACCTCTTATCAATAAATTTCGAAAAAACATACTACCTACCATTTGACTGTCAAGATGCATTTCTTTCTACGTTTGATATTACTTCAACAAAATGTACAATAAAACCAAAAGAAAAAATTAGAAATAATCATAGATTCACATTTTCAGTGGGATCAGCATATTAGCTATTTACTGAAAAAATTGCGATGCATTTTATATAGATTCAAGTATGTGACGGAGTACTTGGACCAAGATCGCAAAATCATTTTGTACAAAAGTCTTGTCGAACTACACTTGAAATACGGTATTCTCGGATGGGGCGGGGTGTCAAGAACACACCTTGATGCTTTGGAAGAATCCCAAAGAAGATTCTTGAAAATCATCCCGAATGAAAATAGTAGATACTCCAGTGATCAAGTATATAAAGAGGCAAAAACGTTTGATCTGAGACAAATATATTTTGAACAGCTGAATATTGCAGTATTCCAAAAAAAATTGACCCCAATCTGGAGCATACGTATCCTACCAGAGGAAAAAACAAATTTGTCCAACCGCTAATGAGCAAGTCAGTAGGCCAGAAAAGTCATCAATTTTTGAGTCCAAGGGCTTTCAACACTCTTCCTGATGAAATAAAAATTCAACAATCGATAGCAAAATTCAAAAGAGAATTGAAAACATATGTATATCAGAGGAACCGGGGAGCGATTCACCAAATAATTGAAAAAATTGAAAAATAACATCTTACAGCAAAATAAGTACGTTTCATCCGTTCTGTTCGACTGTTGATTCATTTGTGAAAGTTTCAGTTTGGTTCTAATTTCACCTTCTCCATCAAATTTGATTGAATACTGATTGATTGATATTTCAATACTATTTATTTTATGATTGAGATATTTCAACATGTCATTGTGAAAATATAATATTTCAATTTTATTAGTCTTATTTATGTGTTATTATTTATATTGTTTATTATCTGTCATATTTATGTTATCACGCACAAGTCACTTCTGTGACTTTTGTGATATTATCTGTTTGTTCAACTAAATTCTCTATCAAATGTATATAATGATATATCTGTGAATATTATGTTTAATTTCATTTCATCGGTGCTTCATTACTAATCTAGCGTAAAAAAAACTCACACCAGAAACTTGTTATCCACCCTGATAGTGAATCGCGTATCGTTTCCACATCTCTAATGGTCTTTCTTCTCTTTTAAATAGACTCTCCACCACTTCTTGAAGTGCAACAGCGAATGGTTGTACCAGGAGTTAGGCATAAGTGAGAATAAGGAGGTAGCGAAGCCGAATAGAGCAGTACAACAACCATTGTTTCTGCTACATACTATGTTCCACATAGGCTACCGTCCATTTGATCAGGTTGGTATAAATGATTATGATTTCCAAGATTGTCACTTTTTCATTGCAATCTATCATGTGGGCTGGAAAGTTCGTAGGCTAATACACAGTTGGTGTTACGACTATTATATCCATATTATTTTGAGTTAACCTCAACATTCAAAAGACATTTTGCTTTTTAGCCACAAAAGCTTCACTTGTTGAACATTATTGCTGAGTTGCACGCAGGAAACGTCCCAAAAAGGCTGTTAAAGACAAAAACGAAAAAGCCCACAAAATTATTTTGGATAACCGCAAAGTGGAGTTGATTGAGATAGCTGAGGCTCTAAAGATATCAAAGGAACGTTTTGGAACGTGCATGAATATTTGGGTATGCAAAAGCTCTATTCGAAGTAGGTGCTTCGCGAGCTCACTATCGACGAATACAACACCGAATTGATTATTATGAGCAGTGTTTCAAACTGTACCACCATAGAAAATACCAAACTTGTCATCAATATATGACGATGTATGATTTGAAAGACGAAATTGGAAAAACACGGCCCCATTTGGAAAAAAAGTACTGTTTCATCGAGACAAATCAATGGAGATTATAGCTAAATACATGAATTGGGCTTGTAATTGGTTTCGCATCCACCGTATCCTCTAGATCTGGCCCCCATCAACTTTTTCCTGTTTTCAGGCTCCAAGAGAATGCTCGCTGGAAAAAAGATTTGGTTATCACCGAAACTGAGACCTATTTTGGATCTGAAGACAAATTGGACTATAAAAATGGTATCAAAAAATTTTATCACCGCTATAATCGTTATGTCACCCTCGAAGGCAACTATGTTGAATGATGAAATCAAGTCATAGTCACACTGTCATAGTCACTGGTAGATAAGTGTCTTACGGTGAAACATCGATGTCTACCAGTGAGGCTAACAGTGAAATTTCTTAATTTTCATTTAGAAATCCTGTGAATGATATCTAATTTTAATTCCAAAACGAATATGCGGAATACAAACTGAGTAGGGAAAAGTGTTTTTTGTATAATTCAGCGTTCATATAGTATTTGTTTCGAAAGAATGTTTTTTGTGTAATTCAATATTTATATGAAAGTAGATGTTCCAGGAAGGGCTTTTTCTTTCAGTTTGTGTCTGAAAGTTACTTCTTTACATGATCTACACGTCTATGTATAATTACTTCTTTTAAAATAGATTGCTTCTTCCTATCAAGATGGAGTAGTAGAAAACCAACAACTTTCTTCCCCAAAAAATGAGTCCCTCCTAAAAATATACTCCTTTCAATTCTATTTTATATTATTCTCTTTTCGGCCAATAAAGAGTGATTCCTTTTTCAGCTACCTTTTCAATCAATACAGCTTTTAGATCGCTATCTTCCTTTCTTTGGAAGATTCCCAAAATTTTTAGTATCAAGATGGAGTAATAGAAAACCAACAACTTTCTTTCCCATAAAAAATGAATCGAAACAACTCAATGTTCTAGAAAAATATAGTGTGACATGGCCTCGAAAAACAAAATTCCTTTTCAGATTTTTGAACTTTGAATTTCTCATTCTAGAAACAACTGAATGGCATCATGTATAATGATTTTACTGAGTGTTCATAAACATGATATTTTTTTATTTCAGTTATTGTCTGGAGGGTGGCGTCCTAATTGGGTGAACTTGATCCAAACTCCGATGGGAATGACAAACGAACGAATCTGGAGGCAAATTTCACTGAGGTGGGAGTTCAGAAACCCCAACGCTGCCAACCTGACAAGTCAACACACACAGATTGTTAATAATATAACATCTCTTTTCAAGCAATAAATCTACTTACTGAAGGATCCAAAGTAGTTTGACAGTTGGAGTTGAGTTTGGAAAAATTGTAATTCACTCAGATGATAATATAGAGAAGAGAAGAGTCCAGTTTCCATGAAAAAAATATATTTTCGGTAACCAGCTGTTGCTACTTCACAAACGCCAAATCTGAAGAGTTGTGAGCCGATGATTAATGAGGTCTCAGGTTAGGATAGGTACACCGCAACCCGCAAATGTTCATTGTCGACCAAATAAACACAGCTTCTTAACGAAGCCGATTAGTTTGTATGGTGAGGTCGGATGGTAAAAGTACGGCTCTGCCGAACTCTAAAAACACACTGTATTCCGACAGTTCGAGCCTCTGCATATGATGATTCAAATGACAGTGACCTGTAAAAAGACCTGTTAGACATCGTAGTTCATCCCTACTGTAGTCCAACAACTGTTTGGAATTAAGCTTCAAAGGGTGAATAAATGCTTTGGAGTGAGCCAATCCTGGAAGATTCTGCCGGAAGTCCATAAATCTTCTTGCTATCCAGGTGTTCAATTTTTGTTTGGCAAAGGTGGCTATACAAAATATCCTTATTTCCTGTGTCTTTGTGATAGCAGTGCCAAGGACCAACACTGGAGTAGAAGAAAATGGCGTTCTAGAGATGCTTTAGTTCAAGGAGGAGCTAACGTAGTTAACGAAGCATTGGTCTACCGAGAGAAAATAATATTACCCCCGTTACATATTAAACTAGGGCTGATGAAACAATTTGTAAAGGCCCTAGGCCAGAATCGTCCTTGTTTTGAATACTTGTTCAGCAAATTCCCTGCACTTACTGAAGAAAAATTGAATGCCGGAATATTTGATGGGCCTCAGATACGACAACTTATAAAAGATTCGAATTTTACAGAACCGATGACTGAAATTGAGTGTAATGCATGGTGCTCTTTTGTGAAAGTTGTGGAAAATTTTCTTGGAAACGATAAATCTGAAAATTACCTGGATTTAGTGAAAGAAATACTCAAAAATTTCAACAAACACGGTTGTCACATGAGTGACAGCCACTTAGACCGTTTTCCAGAAACTCTTGGTGACCTCAGTGAGGAACAAGGGGAACGCTTCCACCAAGATATCAAAACGATGGAAGAGAGGTATCAGGGGAGATGGGACACTCATATGATGACGGATTACTGCTGGAGTCTTCAAAGGGACCGTCCTTTTAAAGCCTTTGCAAAAAAATCATATAAAAGGAAGTTTTTAGGTGACGCCGAATAACAGATTTGCGATGCTGGTTAGGTTACATGAAAACGATCTGATGGAGCAAATCTGGTGGTATTTTTGGATTCAGCATACCCAAATTACCTAGAAAAAAAAAATTCGGCAGCAAACTGTGCAATGCCAAGATATTTCACCTCCGTTCTGAATGGAATGACCTCACCATTGAGGGGAAATTGCGTTAGATTGTTCAATTTTCTTCACTTGGAGAAGGGAGTCATCACAGTTTTGCTGGGTTTGACAGACATCTACTTCCTCACACTCGACTTGTGAACAACGTCCAACGTGTTCTGGAGAATATTACAAGCTACTTTTCCCGACGTGGACCTTGCCAAGATGACAGGGTCATCTGCATGAGCTTCCAGATCCAATTTTCTCCTGTCAAGGGAATCAAACGGACTATCCATCAGCGACAACAGAAGGGGAGATAGTACCTTGAGGGCAGCCCCTGGTGACTCTGAACCTAATGGCCTCGCCTTGAAGAGTAATTGCAGTTCTGTTTACCAGCATGACATAGATCCAGCCAGTCATGGTCGATTCTATACCTTTCCTAGGCAGAGATGATCCTATAGATTTAGGTAGTGCATTGTCAAATGCTTCTCCAATATCGAGAAATACAACAACCGTAATCTCTTTGTTTTCGAGGGATTGGGAGATTTTCTCTACAAGTTTGTTTGATGCTAAAGCTGTCGATTTGCCGGTGTGATAAGCATACTGGTGGTTGAAGAGGTCTTACTCATACTCATAAAAAATACATCTTCACTACGTTGGTCCTCCTAAATATACCATCATTAAGCATAGCGATCCGACTTCAATATCAAGATCCCAGTCCCACAGGAATCATTTTTATTTTATTTTTCTGGGGACAACAATGAAAGCTGCATTATTATGATTATGTGTATCATCATAATCATCATCATCCCGTGCTAGGAATCACACGTCAAAAGGTAATATTTCGTTAGTCAGAAGCTCGCACAAGTTCTAAATTTGTAGAGTTGTCGTTCGTAGGAGAGCGACAGCTGATTAACGGAAAAACAGATTTCAAAGAGATCATTATTATAATTGATTACCACAACTTGATTTCTGCTGAGATAAAGTTATCGAATTTTGAGAAAAGGTGGTAGTCGGTGGTTGCCGAGAGGTCTGGACAGTATCGTGGCTGAGGCAAAACGTCGACGCTCAACACGTTTAATTTTTAGACGGTGATTTGTGAAACGTGCGAACGGACGTTGTCGTGGGGCAGTATCAGACCTCTTCTGTTGACCAGTGTTGGCTGCCACTGATGCAATTTTTGGTCGAATTCCTCACAATAGCACTCTGCTGTGATGTTTTAATCCATTTGCAAAAAATTATTGTGAATTTCACCAGCCACTGACCATCATACAGTCACCATGATCTTTTTTGGTAGGTTTTAGCCTTTGGGAAGTACCTGGGTGGATCATTGGTGTCCAACCACTTTACTGAACGTCTCCTGTTATTGTAAAGGATTCACTTTTCATCACACGTGACAATTTCATCCAAAAAAGGATCGTTTTCGTTGTGCAAAAGCAAAGAAGAATATACCGACCTAGAAACTTTAAAGTTTTGTCGATTGTTCAAATCAGGAGGCACCCACTTTTCGAGCTTTTTGACCATTTCAATACGTTTCAAACCATCAAAATTGGTCGAAGAGTGCATTTATTAGCACTATCATTAACCTTATCATTGTTTCGGTAGCGTATTGGTTCTATTTGAATTCGTAAAGGAAAATCAGCCAAAAATCACTTAACGACATCATATAGAATCTCGGTGGAAAGAGGCAAAATTTAATAAAATGAATATTCATTGACATGAAACTACAAAAACATACATCAAAACAGACAAAAATTCGAAACAACTCATTCCAGTGTGTAACAACGAAAACTTAACAGAGCCGTTTTTGAATATGAAAAGTAAGATTTTTAAAAAAAGCTCGGACACGTCGATTTCTAATTGAAGGGGGACATCTTTCAGACTAATCAGATTTTTTGTAGTACGCACCCCCTCGGAGGGGTGCGTCCGACGACCCTTATTTAGATAGGGAAAGTAGGTCGAGTGGCACCTTGTTTTAAAGGTCTTTCGAATACCTTTACAACTCTACTAAAATAAAATTTTTGTAATGATTAGTTTTCGAGATAATTTGAAGTTAAAATTGCCATGTTAATAATACATTAGACAGACCACTCGATAACTTGGATGCCTGAATAAAAAAAATTTCGAGCAGTTCTTCTTATCAGTTTTTTGTTAAAGAAAATCCCTTTTTTTAAATCAATACTCACTCCTCTTACTCCAGTTTTCATTAGTACATCGTTCGATTGTTTTGTTTAAACGGGTCGTGTATTGTTATTTGTTTAAAAATGCCTTACACTACTGCTGAAAGGGTTTCAGTTATTGCTTTATTTTTTGGCAACGACCAAAATGCTAATAGAACATAAATTTCATTTAACGAGCAAAACCCTGGTAAACACCTAAGCAGAAATCACGTTCTGGATTTGATCACGAAATTCAGGAAGACAGGTTCGATTTCAAATAAGAAAAGAAATGTTCAGAGAAGGGTAGTGAATGACGATAATGCGATTGAAGTGATTGGTCGAGTCATCGCCAATCCTAGGTTAAGTACCAGAAGTTTATCAGCAATGGCCGGAATAAGCCATATGAGCGCATGGAGAATCCTTAAAAACGACAAATTCCATCCTTACAAAATTAAACTTGTTCATGAACTCAGAACTCAATGAGGCTGATTTTGACCGAAGACAGGAGTTTTGTGAGGGCATGAGTGAGAGATTAATGCAAAATCCCGAGCTGCTTTATAACATCTGTTTTTCGGACGAAAGCTCATTTTATTTAAATGGTTGAACCGTCACAATTGCCGTTATTGGTCAGATGAAAACCTAAGACAATACGCAGAAATACATACCCAACATCCCCAAAAGTTGAATGTCTGGGACGAAATATTAGGCAATCATATTATAGGTCCATTTTTCATTGATGAAAATTTAACCGGTGATTCTTATTTACAACTTCTTGAAGAGGCAATACAACCCCGTATAGTTGAAATAATTGAACAGGACCCAAGATGTCAAGACGAATTTATCCATTTTCAACAAGACGGTGCACCACCCCATTATGCCCAGCAGGTTCGAAATTTTTTGAATAACCGTTTTGAAGGAAAATGGATTGGCAGAAGAGGTCCAATTGAATGGCCAGCACGATCACCAGATTTAACACCACTGGACTACTTTTTGTGGGGATATTCGAAGTCTAACGTTTATGCCACACAGCCAGCCAATTTGGATGAATTACGTCGTAGAATTATTGATGAATGCCGAGCTATAACTCCTGAGGTGTTAAATAATGTAAGAGCAAAATTCGAACAAAATCTTTATTGTTCCATGGAGCAAAATGGCGCACATTTTGAACATTTACTCTAAATTTCCTATGTTAGTTACCCTTATTAGGTGTTACTTTTTCGTGTGTGCTTTAAAAACATTTATTGGGATTTATTAACCCTAAAACAGTTTTTCAAACTTTCCTGTGTCATCAGCATTCAAGGAAATCAGCAGGTTATATTCGTTGTGTAAGTAAGTTTTTAGTATGATTCACTCTTTTATCAGAAGCATAAAATATCCACGTCAAAAGGCAACCTTCATAAGGAGGTGCCACTCAATTTTACCTAAAATGTAAGGGTGGTAACCAACCCCATTCCCCGAAAAAATCTCCTCGTAATAAAAAAATGATTCTTAC